GAGTCAAGTGAGCAATGGGATCCTCTGTAGGCCGCCCTCTGAAACTCGCCTGACTGAACATCGTGATGCATTGAGGCGGTAGCTCGAAACTGTCTATGGGTGTGTTTGGATCTCTGGTGTGACGAGGGTTCCTTAGCTTGTGCGATCGCACCATTGTTGTCACAATACAACTCAATGGGATCTGCAACGCTAGGAATGACCCCCAGGTCTCCCACCAATTTCCTGATCCAAACAGCTTCCTTAGCTGCATCCGATGCTGCTATGTACTCGGCATCTGTAGTTGAATCTGCAACGGTTGGCTGTTTGGAACTCTTCCAACTAATAGCCCCACTGTTCAAGCAGAAAACGTAACCTGACTGCGATCTGAAGTCATCTCTGTCGGTCTGGAAACTAGCATCGGTATAGCCCCTTATAGCGAACTCGTCTTCCAATCCGCCATACACCAAGAACAAATCTTAGTCCTTCTCAAGTACTTAAGGATGTTCTTGATCGCAATCCAGTGAGCCTCACCTGGTGTAGACTGATATCTATTAGTCATACTCAGTGTATGTGATACATCCGGACGAGTACACAACATGGCGTACATGATGGATCCAATTGCCGAGGCATATGGAATCCTACTCATGCGCTCTTGCTCATCCTTTGTCTTTGGACACTGAGTCTTGCTAAGAGCCACGTCATGTCCCATTGGCAAGGCACCCCTCTTGGAGTCTTGCATCTTGAACCGATTCAAGACCTTGTCAATGTATGTACTCTGACTTAGACCAAGAAGCCTTCTCGATCTATCTCTATAGATCTTGATTCCTAGAATATAGGCGGCTTCTCCTAAGTCCTTCATCGAAAAGACCGATCCTAGCCAGGATTTTACTCCTTGCAAGGTAGGAATGTCATTTCCGATGAGCAATATATCATCCACATAAAGTACAAGGAAGACCACTATGCTCCCACTGACCTTCTTGTAAGCGCATGGCTCATCTTCGTTTTGCAGGAAGCCAAACGGTTTGACTGCCTCGTCAAATCGAAGATTCCAGCTCCTCGAAGCCTGCTTCAGTGCATAAATGGATCTCTGAAGCTTGCACACCTTCCTCAGACTCTTAGGATCGACAAAACCCTCCGGTTGTATCATGTACACATCCTCGAGCAAATTTCCATTAAGGAATGCGGTCTTGACGTCCGTCCATCTGCCATATCTCGTAGTCATAATACGCAGCTATGGCCAGCAGAATCCGAATGGATTTAAACATCACAACCGGTGAAAAGGTTTCATCATAGTCTATACCATGAATCTGCCGAAACCCTTTCGCGACGAGTCGTGCCTTATAGGTATGCACGATGCCATCCATGTCGGTTTTCTTCTTGAAAACCCACTTGCATCCAATGGTCTTAATACCATCGAACGAATCGACCACACTTTGTGTCGTACATGGATTGCATCTCAGACTCCATGGCCTGGTGCCATTTCTCGGAATCGGAACTCGCCACAGCCTCTGAATATGACGTAGGCTCGTCATGTTCTAACAATATGAGTTCGTCGTTTCCAGTCACAAGAAATCCGTATCTTGTAGGCTCTTGGCGAATTCTACCAGATCTCCGAGGTTCACTAGGAGGTGCTGTCTCAACAACTCGTGATACAGGTTGGACTGTTTCGACCTGTTCGTTCGGTTCTTCGACTATTTGTGGTTCTCGAACTTCTTCGAGATCTATTCTACTCCCACTGACTCTCTTGGAGACGAACTCTCTCTCCAAGAAAGATCCATTCCGAGCAACAAATACTTTGTTCTCAGATGGGTTGTAGAACCAGTACCCTTTAGTTTCCTTAGGGTAACGCACAAATATGCATTTATCAGACTTGGCGGATAGCTTATCAGAAGCCAGACGTTTCACATAAACGTCGCATCCCCAAATCTTCATAAATGCTAACCTGGGACGCTTCCCATTCCATATCTCATATGGTGTCTTCTGAACCGACTTTGTTGGACAGTTGTTTAGTATAAGCGCTGCCGTTTCCAAGGCGTAACCCCAAAAGGATTTAGGAAGATCGATCTGACTCATCATAGACCGTACCATATCTAATAGGGTCTGGTTCCTCCTCTCAGACACGCCATTCCACTGTGGCGTTCCAGGTGGAGTCAGCTGTGAGACAATCCCAAAATCTGCCAGATAATCAGTGAACTCTTGGCTCATATACTCGCCACCTCGATCATATTGAAGGAACTTGATCCTCTTGCCAAGTTGGTTCTGCACTTCGTTTCTGAAAGTCTTGAACAATTCAAGCATTTCAGACTTATGTCTCATCAAGTAGACATAACCGTACCTACTAAAATCATCAGTAAACGTAACAAAGTACAGATAACCTCCTCTAGCGGGCGAGCTCATAGGATCGCATACATCACTATGTATGAGTTCTAGCAACTCTGTAGCCCGTTCTCCTTTTCTAGAAAAAGGAGATTTTGTCATCTTGCCCATCAAACAGGAATCGCATGATTCAATTGACTCATAATCAAAAGAATCAAGAAGTCCATCAGAATGAAGCTTCGCTATGCGTTTCTCGTTGATGTGGCCAAGTCGACAATGCCAGAGATAGGTCGGGTTTAAGTCGTTCGGCTTAAACTGCTTGGTACTAACATTATAGATCGACCTGTATCCAGATGGTTCATCTTCCAAAATATAAAGGCCATTAAACTGGTAACCCTTACCATAGAATAAATCGCCTCTATAAATGGACAGACATTTGTTCCCAATAACAAATCTGAAACCATCTGAGTCTAAGCAAGAAATCGATATGATGTTCCTACTGATGGCAGGTACAAAATAACAATCATGCAGCTCCAATACTAGGCCAGAAGGTAAAGTCAGATCATAAGTCCCGACGGTTAATGCAACAACTTTTGCTCCATTCCCGACCCGGAGATCTACTTCTCCCTTTGCCAATTGTCTACTTCCTCGCAGTCCCTGCACATTTGCACAAATGTGCGAGGCACATCCGGTATCTAATACCCATGAAGAAGAAGTACACAAGTTCCTGCTGATGGCAGGTACAAAATAACAATCATGCAACTCCAATACAAGGCCAGAAGGTAAAGTCATATCGTAAGTCCCGACGGACGGATGGTCTTGACGTCTGGACCGGACGGTCTAGCCCTTGCGGAACGTGTTGGGATTCCTGGGATCTCATGAGCGAATCTAATTCCTAAGAGATCGATTCTAGGGTTGTGCAGCGGAAGTAAAACAAAAATTT